TGGGTTGCTGCAGTGCGGGTGTCTGGGTTGATTTCGATGTCGGAGAGTGCAGTGTACTTTGTGGTGAACAGCGCGATTCATTTACTCCCTGTAAAGTACATGTATTTTGTGGACTTGAATTATTTTATCATTTTGACATGTAATGCTGAATGTTTTTATGATCTGGACACCTAATACTCAAATATTCGGGTCATCCTGCTTCTTTGAATAGTTACTGGTTTTACTTAATTGGGGGGTCAACAAATTAACCATCAGATATAACTTTAATTTTTTTTTAGATATGATAGCTTAAGCTGTCAACTATTATTTGGCAAATAAAAATTTCATACATTTTAGTTTTAAAATTTGATCATTTTTGTATATCTTTATATGGAGCTCTTCTTCTATAGGAGATCAATATAGTCTGAAATTGGCCACAACCACCCAGCCCTCTTGAAGAAAAATTACACAAAGTCCTTCTTCCCAAAATTTTTAAACGGATTTTATGCTTTATCAATTCCTCAATTTCAGACTGGTAATGAATTTATTATATGAAATACTAACAGTAGAGGTCCATGGGCCACATGCTCATCTGAACATTTTATGATCAATTGATATATGTATATATGTAATAGATATTTGCCGAATGCAGTTCTATATGCAAAATTACCAGATTGCTTGAAGCCCGTTGGGGATGAAAACAGTCTGATAATTTTATACATGTAGAATTGTATGAGGCATATACATGTACATGTATCAAAAATAAAATATTAATAAGGAATGCTTTTTAGCCCTACTGGTCAGAGGCCAGAAGAGCTTATGCGATAGTAAGGTGTCCTTCGTCCTTCTGTCTGTATGTTTGTAAACAATTTCTCAAAATGCTACTTCCCTTATAGTTTTGGTCCAATTTTAATATAACTTGTAACACAAGTAGACTTCACTAAGACACGTAATTCTGTACATCGGTTTGGATTTCAATGAACGGTATTGCCATGGTAACTAAAAATAGAAATTTTCTGTGGAATTCTCCGCTACTCATTCCATAGTTTTTGTCCAACTGCAAATAAACCTTATTTATTGCTGTTGCCTTAGTTTCAAGACTAAGTGCTACCTTTCTCCATCTTTGTTAATTAAATAAAAACAAGTAGAGCTACAGTCTCGTCAAAGATTTTCTGGTTTAGTTTTGTGAGTGTTTTGTACAAGAAGAAAGTTAATTGTACGTAGCTAATGAATATTCCTTTTATTATAGGAATACAAAAAAATCCATCAATAAAGGAACTTTTTTCAAAAAAGCTTACAGATATTTAGCTGATTTTTTTGCCATGTGAGTGTACTTGATGAGTTACATGTCAATTTTGAAATCGTTCCGTTTCGAAGATTTTTGACGGAGCTTTTTAAAGGATGTATTCACTATTTGAAAAGAATTGACCTATAGGAGGGAACAATTTCTCGGAAAAAGTCACTTTTAAAAATCAATGTTCATTAGTTGTTAACTACCGTATATATGTCTAAATTTTTCAAATTTGTATTTTGAACCTAAAATTTAATATATACAACTTAAAAATTAACCTCCAAAGTTGGCCAAAACAGCGTTTTGTCCTATAAAGCATAGATTTATGCATTAATTTTGGCCTTGAAGTCCTTCAGGGCAGGCCTGCCCCTAAATAAAATTATGAGATTTGGATAGGTTGTGATAAAAGGAATAATTTAAGATAGGATTTTTTTTATGGGCACTAGGGTCGAAATTCACAAAAATCTACTAAAAATAAGGAAACCCGTTTTCAAAAACCTTGTTCGCATTTATACATACTATTCTCAAAGCCAGAATAGGTGGATTGGTAAAACAGCTGAGTATATACTCCGAAGATACTTTTTTAGAGTCGTGTTTCGAATCCATCTGGTGACACATTTTTAAAACACTTTTAAATTCTTGTCGTTTCACAGACTATTTTAATTTTTTATAGGGTCTTGTGTATTTTCTTTCAGTTATCTATCTTTTATGCATGTTCATTCTTGATATAAAAGACACTAAAGCAAATACATGTAGTAAATTTCACTGTATAACTAAAACACATTCAAGCGAAACTATACCCCTTGGTTTTCCACATATTTTCCTAAACGTTTGCAGATATTGCTCTGATTTTTGGTATGTGAGTCTACCATAATGAGTTATAGAACGAGTTCGCATTTTGCTTCGCTTCAATGATTTTTACACCCCCTGACAAGCGTAGGCGGGGGAATGATTACTATCGATTGAGTAATAATGAAACTGTGATTACTGATTTGACTTCAGGTGGTGTAGTAATGAATGCATATGTGAATATATAATTATACTCTGACCTTTCACCCTGACCTCATAGCCACCCACCCATGCCGACACGCGTCCCACATCAGTCGAGTTTGTCCAGTCATACCTTCACCACGTTTGTTACAGGCGCAGATCCAGGAATTTTTTCCAATGGGCGGGGGGGGGGGGGGTCGTGGTGGTGATGGTGGGGTCCACGTTTTCTAGGGGGGTCCAAAGTCATTTCTTATTAGCTTCAGTGTATACTTTTTATAACTCTGCAAATTCCGGGGGGAGGGGTCCGGACCCCCCCCCCACCTCTAGATCCGCGCATGTGTTACCTGTTATATGTTGTATGTACCCGTGTTCACTCATCGTGTAGATCTGGGTGTTCCGTCGTCACCTTATACTAAGGTAGGCGACACTTAAATTAGTAAAATCCCCTATTGTACTACATTGGCGTCGCCGGTTATTCGTCGCGGGGGATATTGTGTATTTTACCGTATTTGCAAAAAATCACGTGTGCCAGTAGTGAATTACGAAAGCCTATTAGGATCAATCTATGGAGAAAAAAAATTATAAGGCGATATAACGCCTTTCGAAAAGGCGTAATAACGCGAAAAAAAGCGTAATAACGCCTTTTGAAAAGTCTTAATAACGCGAAAAAAAGGCGTACTAGCGCGAAAAAAGGCGTTATTATGCCTTTCCAAAAGGCGTTATAACGCCTTTCCAAAAGGCGTTATAACGCCTTTCCAAAAGGCATTATTACGCCTTTCTAAAAGGCATTATTACGCCTTTCCGAAATGCATTATTACGCCTTTCCAAAAGGCGTTATTACGCCATTCTAAAAGACGTTATTACGCCTTTCCAAAAGGCGTTATTACGCCTTTCCAGAAGGCGTTATTACGCCTTTCAAAAAGGTGTTATTACGCCTTTCCAAAAAAATACGCCTTTTATTTTCAATACATGACTAACTTAGCCCACTCCGGGGGCTGAAATCTTACCCCGGGACATGAATTTCACAATTAAATTTAGGGCTATTTTCTTCAAAAATAATTTAAACATATTGTAATTAGATTTCCAGGAAAGAATATTTTTAAATGTGACTAAGTTAGTCATGTATTGAAAATAAAATGCGTATTTTTTTTTCTTCTCTGATGCCAGATCGACACCTCTATCAAGGGTCATGGATTTCACAAATTAGTTGAAGGCTAATTGATCATTTTACCCATGCATATGGTTTGCCTTCTTTCTTTCAAGAGGAGAAAAAAATATTTTTACAATTGACATGATTTTTTAATACATGGCAAGCAAAACCCCATGCTGCATCTGCCTGCATCCTGGATTTCCACAAGTGGAGTGTTGACTTCTCTTAATACGCATGCAAACAGTTGTCTGCGAGATGTGCAGGAATATAGAAAATACTTTTAAATATTGCATAAATAAAGATGGTTTTGAATCAAGTTTTCAAGTATTTATTAATATAAAATAACGCATTTCCATTTTTGGATATAATGCCTTTTCAAACAAGCCGGTAGTACGTGTGCAAGTGGGGGGGGGGGGGGCTCCCCCACCCCACTTTTTGGGAGAATAGTCTTGCGATAGTTTAAATATAAAATTCATTTATTGGCTGCTTGGTCCCTGAACATTTTGTTGCAGTATGATATAACTCTGGCGAATCATTGCATTTAAAAAAATTTTACCGAAAAGTTATAAAAAGATCGAGTTTAGGCAGTTTAGGGGGGGGGGTATTGTTTTTGATTGCTTGTCATTTTTTTGGAGGGTGCCCCCTCCCCCCTTTCAACAGCACGGGCCTGTCAAAGGTATAATAATGGTTCTTCAAAAGGCATAATAACACCTTTTGGAAAGACGTAATAACGTCTTTTGAAAAGGCGTAATAACGCCTTTTAAAAAGGCGTAATAACGCCTTTTAGAAAGGCGTAATAATGCCTTTTAAAATGATTTATCCTAATAGGCTTTCGTAGTGAATAAAAACACGGGTTGAAATATTTTCTAATATTTCGCATTTAGTCGATTTTTTGGAAACTGTTGTTTTAACACGCGTTATATTTAAAATATTGTTACGTCATACTCATTATGATGTCACAATTAAAAATAGCAGCTGAAGAAATTGTGACATCATCACTTATGTGTATGATTTTTTTTTTTTACACTTGATCATTTGATCTAGTTGAGCTATGCAGATAGCGGGAGCACGGCACTGGAAGTTTTAATGTAAATATTGAGTATTTGCATGCATAAAAAAAGACGTGCGGATAATCCCCATTTACATTAACTTCCAGTACCCGTGACTGCATGGAAATGATACAAATAAAAATTAATTCTAAGATATATTTTATACATTTATTTAACCGTGAATTTTAAGCTTTTAATACTTTAATATTTCAACCCAAACAATTTTCAAAATGTTTAATTGAAGCTTACATTTTAATTGAATCACTAGAGTGGCGTACCGTACGAAATATCGCGCTTTTCAGACAACGGCCAGCACCAATCGAAACTTCTCGGACATTTCCGACAAGCGGAAAAACCTGGTTGTTTTTCCGACCTCTGACGGAAAGACCCGAGATGATGCGATTGCGACCACAAGTAGCAGAGTCAGCCGAGGATTGCCGATTGATGAATCTTTAACTTCGGTCTTTTCCGTCAACTTCCGATGTTACGGGAAATGCCGAGTTACGCGTCATTATATTTGTTTACAAACATAAAGCCTAACGGTAAATGTATCCTCTTCCACAAGGATGGAAGGATCAGTGGAAAAAAAGGTACTTATTTCTCTTTATCAAATTTATTGATAGGTACAGTCAAAATAAATTCTGGATTTTTTCATTTAATATCTAAATTCAAGGAAGTTGCTCATAGTACAGTAGTATGCATAACATACGTAGGCATTCAAACATATTGCAGTCACAGCTAGGGTCAACCGTTACAATGTAAAATACCCTCTAGGCTGTACAAACATCTCTAATAAGGACAAAATAGTAATTAAGTTTGATGAAGGCCTTAGTGGTAACTGCATGGTAAAGACCTGTACCATGGAAGTGGATCTAGATTCATTTTTCTCCTATTTTAAATAAATTAGTTTTTGAATAAAATTGAAGATATAATTATCATTTCCAATCCAGTTTCCCCCCGTTATTGAGCTCAATGTGGGAGGAAAGCACTACACAACCACTTTACTGACCTTAGTGAAATGTAAGGACACAATGCTAGCTGCTATGTTCAGTGGAAATTATGATGTTAAAAAAGATCAACATGGGCGGTACTTTATTGATGCTGATGGGGAGAATTTCCACTACATCCTGAACTACCTCCGATATGGAGAGCTTCCTCCAAAGGAAATTGCCCCAAAGATCTACAGAGAGGCTGCATACTTTGGGCTACAAAGAATGGTAGAGGAGCTGGAGAAACATCCATCCTTTCTTGCCAGAATCCACAGGGAAAGCTTCAGGGCCCAGTTTCCAGGTTACACAAAACTTGTAAATTCCATCATCAACAAAATTTATCAGGAGTCTTCCAAAAATACAGAAACTATTTCATCAATAATGGTTACACTTTTTGCCAAAGACAAAAAGCCAAAGCTTGAAACATTCGATAAGAACCACTGGTGTACGATGAAAGCCAGGAACAAGAAACAAACCAAGGTGGACTTCATCCTGGGTCCTTGGACAAGCAGAACGACAGAGAAAGAGGTTATGGACTGTATTGCTTATGACCTCAAGGAGCGGGGGTTTAACCTGACCAAGGAAGCTATAGGTCAGTGTTCATATAAATGTGACAGTCCACCAGATTACCCAGGGGAAGCAACTGTAGAAAACTGTCCCAAAGCCATCTACAAAATAACATTCCACTGGTGGAAATGAAGTTGCATGTTTTTGTTTGTTTGAACTACCTCAATAATGTCCTGTATGTCTAAGAATGTCAGTTTATTTTAATAAACTTAAGGACTTTTAATGATTCCAATATGTACATGTATGTAAATGTATAGCTTCCTTTAAGAAGTCATAGTTGTTAATGTTTTTTTTATGTACATATTGTAATTGTTGTTTGCACTGAATTTCTTTACCCTCAGTTGTACATAGATGTTTTATTGAAAGATATATCTTTTCATGAAGATAAACTTTTATATAGTTTTAGTATTTTTAGTATATTAAGTTTTATGTAATCACATATTTTCACTGCACTGCCAATTGTAAAAATTACTATTTTATTTTTCTGTTGATTTATACAAGTTTTTTTTAAAAACAGTACATACATGTATGTATTTACACTATTTTTTTTTAACTTTTGTGTGATGAACTGAATTAAAAAAATGAATAGATGTTGAAAATTAGTGCTGAAGATCCAGTGTGTTTTGATTGAACTTAACTTGTAATGAAAAAATACCTGTCAATGTATACAAGTGAAAATACTCCAGAGCAACAGTCTATTCAAGTTATGTATGATAAAATTCAATGTAAATTAAACCTGAATATAATACTGTAATTCATCTCTCTACTGGACAAAACCTGCTTCAATATGATGAAGTTTGTTACCTTTTATTTTGGTTTTCCTCTTTCTGATTGTTTTTAAGAATAAAAGAATTTGTTCTCTTTGTATAGTATATATGAATTGTGTGTGTTTGTCAGCCAAACAACTGTTTGATTTTGACAATATTGAAAGCAGAGCTATGATTCTGTTGCATTTCAAACTTTGTGAAAGAAATTTATTCATGCATTGCCAGGTTAAAGTCCCTTTGCTTTATAAGTGTCCTATTTAACTATAATTAAATTGTCTGATTACTTATGCCCCCCCCCCCCCCCTTGAATGTATTTTACACTGATTTTTACACTGATGACCTTTGGGTCAAATTACTACTTTATTTGCAGAAAAGTCTGTCTAGTTGAAAGACAGAAAAGAGTTCTATGTTAGACAAGCTTATTTGCTAAACACAATTTTTTTTTTAACTTAAGGAACATTTGTAGGTCATATGATACCTAGTGTTTTGATGTTGCTTTCAAAAGCTTAATATCATAAGTTTAACACGTAGCCTAGCTAGGTAAAAAGATTAAAAAAAAATATAATTGCCATGTTCATTTACTATACAAGTAGAATTTTTAGTAAGGATTTCATTTTGGCATTATTAACAAGTATTGAGATTGCTTAAAATTTAAGGCAATTGTTATATTTCTTGGTTCCATTGTTAAAATTATATACATGTATTCTGATCGATTTACCTTTGTATAACCCTGACCTTAATACATTTCTAGTTTAAGCATTTGTTCATTGCTACTTATAGTATATCCTTTACAATTTATCAAAAAAAAAAAAAAACAAAAAAAAAAACTTGCAGGCACACTGATGTGGTTAAAATTTTTACTCCTTAAAAAGAGGTAATAAATGACCTAGGAGCACATGACAGTGTGCATAAGTGACAGCTGCTATGGAGGAATTACCATATCTAAATAGGTTGATTATCATCCTTATTATAAACAGCAAGAACAACAACAAAAATTCATTCCTGTTAATACTTACATTTTAAACCTTAGTTACTATAACCTTACCACTAGATCTGCCTACTTTACAAAAACTAAATTTATCACTTTATTTTTTCATTGCCAGCAACCACAAGGACTTCTGTTCTTTTTCTAATTGAAATATTTATCTATTTGAAATAATAGCTGTGCCTTGTGATGTTATAAAAACCAAATAAGGACACAAAGGTATAGTTCAGAGGTCACAAGAAAGAATTCAGTTATGATGGTGTTACCCCAGATTTACAGGTATATTTATTGTTGACAAAACATTGGCAAATGTCAGTAAGGTTAAATTATAGTGTACATATATGATCTATATACAACAAGTTAAAGCTATGTACAATATATTTCTGGACATGAAGCTCCTGAGTGAGTCAAATTTGCATCAAAGTGAGCACATTTCAGTCTCTTCTTTGTCAACAAACCCACTGGACATCTCAGTGTCTGCTGAATCCCTGCCGCGTCTAGAGAGAGGAATGTCATTTTAGTACAATCATATTCAAATGATGTATATTTCATTTGTTACATACTTCCTCGCTTTTGTTTTTCCAAACATTGTTCTCAATGTGACAAATTAAGTAGATAAAATGTATTTCCATCCAGTAGTAAAAAGGTAGTAAAAATTTAACCCCCCTCTACCCCCTTCCCCCAACACACACACAAACTTACATGTAAATAATATCAATTTGAAGTATGCATATGGCTTAAAAAAAAAAAATAAAAATGAAAATAAATTTAATTATGGTACAAGTGTTTTACCAATAATGTTTAGAAATTTCTTGTAATAATGTATTGCAAATGTTTAAAAATATGACCCTTACCTAAAAGAAAATTTTCTTTGTGCTGGAAGTAATGTTTTCACTTTTCCAAATTTGTTTCTGTTGATTGTTACAAAGACTAAAAGAACCAGACCCTACAGCATTGTAAAGAATCCAAAGATCAAAGTGTACATAAATATTTATACATTTCAAACTTTTATTTGAAGAAGTTTAAATCCTTGATTACAGTGATGCATAGAGAATATTAGCATATGGGAATTGACAGGCATACTACAAGTATTATAAAAGGTGCATTAAGCTAAATTCCCAAGTCAAAGTGAACTGCTTATTTAAGCAGTTTATAAACAGTTGTTAGGCAGTCTGGAGGTCTTTGGGCAGTTTTTAAGCAGTTTCTAACAGTCTTAGTCTTAGCATTCCTTAAAACTGCTAACAGACTGGTTATGAAACTGCTAAGAATTTGTGTTAGCAGTTCAGTATTGAACAAACTTAAGCAGTCAAACAAGCAGTTTCTCAAAACTGCTAAAAGTGCAACTAATTCATTTCAATTTCTCACATGAGGAAATAAAATACGTCCACACTTCATTTCACTATGCACCTTTATATATGAACACAACACCTTAATTAATATGCATTGTTGCGCACCGAGCAGGTTGACGCCAGGTTTATTATATTGAATATATTCAAATATACAAACAAAGCAGTTTTGATATAACATTAGGCCCATATACTAAAAGGCAAAAACACAAAAAGCGAATTTTAATAATAATGCAATAAAATTTAAAGCCTCCTCCGCTGCCCAGGAAAAACCATAGATAAAAAACAAATATTTTGAAGAAACTATGGAAACCTGTGTGTCCGCGGCAAATTGCAGAGTAAGCGAAAAAGTTGAGTGGTGGACCCTCATTCATGTTTTAAACATCCAAAAAATTTTTTTCTAAATTTATGAAATTATAAATTTTACTATTGTATTTATAAAAAATAAAAAACACGACTTGCACGGGATAGCGTGCGCTAGAAAGTGAACTCTTACTAACCACCCGTAAATACATTCGAACACGTTTTCTCAATACCGACATTTCATTGGCTGAAACCTACATAACAATTTCACCTTAGTAACACCACACTTTCGTATTCGTTTACATGTCATCAGGACAATTATTTTTTCACTATACTTCGTAACGCAAAAAAATGTAATTTGTCACTCTTTTGGTCCGAGCTTTCACTAGCCTTCATTACAAATGCCCATGTGTTACTGTTAATGCATCGCAAATAATTCAGGGGGCCAGGCAGGAATTTCTTGTACAGAAAATAAAATTAGAAAAAAAACAAAGATATATTTAAAATCTTACTAGAAATGATACAGTAGTTTATAATAAATTGAGGCTACATATTAAAAAATGGCATGCACACATGAGCTTCTAATCTTTATCCCATCAACTTGCAAATGCAGTCCTCTTAATTTTTACATTAACAACCTGCTGTGTCCCCCATGGTTGCTCGAAACTTATCCAATGAGGTGAGCCAGTCAAGATTTGTGTGCTCAACTTTCTAGACCAGTTCAAAATTATTTGTGAGGATATGAAATTATATAGATTTTACAGTAAAGAAGTGAAATAATTGCTTTGGGAAATACATATCTGTCATCAGCATATTGGATTGGATGTGAACATTAATTAGTTACAAATGTATCTGAAGTCCATGAGATGGGAAATATTAAAGATCAATTTAATATGACCATGCAGCAACAATCATGAATGAAAAAGGGTGCCAGGAAAATTTTAAAGATTTGCTGGCACTAAAGTATGCTGAGAAAAGTGTAAGTGGGCTTGTGATACAATACATGTAAATTATATCCCCTCTCTCATTTCAGATTACGAATTATAAAACATATAATCTGTTTGTATTTTAATTATTAGTACGTAATTTAGATATAAACATGGTAAATACAGTATGTTATCAGTAATTACAGTATACATATGTACATGAATTCATTTACATCATTAGATAAATAAATAAAATAAATGTTAATTATAATTCTGAATATAGGATCAAACATTCCTCAATATATTGCAAACTCTCTTCAACAAGACTTACAGATTCTTTTCACGAACTATAAAGCCAGTTATATTAGGTCAAATTCTTTCAAGATGAGTGCTTATATTAATATATATGATCTTTTTATTGACTGGCACTTCATAAGCATGCAACTGAACCATGAAAACTATTATAATTAAATATGTATTCAAAATTTTTGCAGATAAAAGTTAATTGCTGATTGGGGATCTGCAGATTAGCCCCCTATATTGACCAAGCTCTAAAGTTGGCACTCGTTTATAAGAAATGCAAGAAAATGAACTTCATGAAAGGACTTATTTACAATTTAGACATGTATAATAATTGTATGTCATAATTGAGTGGAAAATGAAATCCTTAAAAAATGATGTTTATTCATCTGCACAATGTTTAATACATGTACTAAGCTAAATTCCCATCTGTAATGTTATTTTTATGAATAAATCACCCTGGAAGCATAAATTTTATGCATTTTCATATTCATATATGGGTGGAGTTATCTCCTTATAAGTAGACAAGAAAACTGCTTATAGCAGCTTCTTACCAGTTTTTAAGCAGTTCATATATTTTCATACTTATATGTAGGTGGAGTCATTTCCATATAAGTATAGCAAAGGAAACTGCCTATAGTAGTTGCTTAGCAGTTTTTAAGCAGTTCACCTTAACCTTCCTATTGACTGCTAAGATACTGCCAAGAAACTGCTTAGCAACTGCTAAGATACTGCTAATGAACTGCTTAGCAACTGCTTAAATGGTGGACTGCTAATAAAAACTGTCTAATGATTAGCATGCAAAAACCTTCAGCCAACAACAGAGGAGAAGGCTAGTAAACTGTCTAAAAACTGCTAAAGCATTGAACTGTGAAGGTTAAAAAACTGCCAAAGAACTGCCTTCCACTTTGACTTGGGTTGGTATAAAAGATGAGTATTTAATTGAAAAAAATTAAGGTAAGGTAGTTGCAATGACCATACCGACAGAATGAGGAGACCAGCACACACTGTAGATCCCCAACCAAAGCCAGCAGCATCAACTAAGGCACTGCCAGAGATAGGACCAACAAAAGCACTGAACAAAAGGAGAAAGTAGCATGACATTTAGAACAAGGTAGGTTTTCAGCACTGCGATTTATTATTCTAAGTTGTCAAGACTTTCCTTATAACAGTAAATGTAGGATAACATACCCAAAGGAGTAACAGGAGTTAAAGAGTCCTGACACAACACCAAATGTTTCCAAGTTATCCTCCATTCCAAGACGTCTGAAAAAGCCAAAATCATCACATCTAAATAATTTATATTAATTAATGTCATCTGATTGAAATATGAAAAGAAAATGTGCAGATCATTTTTTTGTAATAAAGAACACCACAATCACTATTATGAGATTAAAACTGTATGATTTTGATTTGGGTGTTTGTCTGTAAACTGTTGACATACTCTGCTCCGACAAGGATTGCTGTAAAGCTGGGAATCATGAGGCAACTGAGGAAAATCCCGACTCCGACTAGTGACAGTGATACCAACCATAGAGAGCTGTTAAAATACAAAATAGTATAAATAGGAGGAAATTTGAGTAACAACATAAGGTGAAGCATGAGCACAAATTATCTCCCTTCTATTGCTTAAAGATTCTAAATATGGAATGGCTTGAACTGTGGTTTTGGTCTTTCAGGGAACCATGACAGCCCTAAAAAGGTCGAATAAAATCTTCACTTACAAAGGGAGGAATGGAAAAATTGGTGAGGGTCCAAGGGTGAAGAAAAAAATGGAGGCTAACAGGGCACCTCCCACAACCAGAGAAACCACATAGTTCTATCAAAAAACAACAAAGTTAGATTCAGTAGGTGTTATTTTTAAAGTGTTAACAAAATTGTCTTCATAAAAACATTTTTTAGAGTCAGAATTACTTTACCTTGGAGTCTGATATCCATCCCCAGATGGGGGAGGTGATGCCATACAGAGCAGGAGGGATCAGGAACATCAGACTCACTGGCACAGTGCCAATACCCAGCTGTGACAGTATAAAGAATAGTCATAATCCAAACATCAGAAATCATCAATACAATAATAGAAGATCAGATGCATCCTTTTTTCTGATTGGTTACAATTTTTTTTATTCTTGTGTTTTCTGAAAGGGTAAGATCCCCCCCCCCCCCCATAAGAATTATTATATATATGTCTGAGAACATGACACCTTGCATGAGAAATAGTTGTAGTCCTTACTTTTTTAAAAGATGTACCTTATTTTACAGTCTACAGTACCTTCTATTCAATGGTTCACTGTGCTTTGCTCTGTGTGGGTGGTTAGCTAAGTACTGTAGTACTTTATAAAAGTGTACATAATATTGTCTGTGGTTAGTGGTTTTCCTACTGTAAGTGGCAAGTGGTACCTTACTTGTATGTATAAGTGGTACATCATCTGTGGTTAGTGGTTTCTTTGTATAAAGTGTTGAGCGGTACCTTACTTTGCATGTGAGGTTAGTTGAAAATTTTGAGTTAGTAGTTAGTGGTACCTTACTTTGCAAAGGTGGAACATAGCATATGTGGTTACTTAATGGTTTTTTACTTTGTATAAGTGGAGAGTGGTACCTTACTTTGCAAGAGTGGAACATGGTATCAATGGTTACTTAATGGTTTCTTACTGTGGTACTTTGTATAAGTGGTAAGTGGTACCTTACTTTGTGTAGGTGGTTAGCCAATGTAGCCTCCATGTAACTAATGGTGTATGATCCACTGACAATACAACCAGCCACACACCACACAAAGGAACTCTTGAGTAATTGAAGGACAGACACAGAGAGAGTCCTGTGGGCACCTTTATGCAGATATTTAAATCAAATGTAATTGTAATATCATAATGTAAACAAGAGGCCCATGGGCCACATCGCTCACCTGAGCACATTGGCTAGGCAAAAGCACAAATCAGTTCAGTATTGAAAAGATTACCCGGGGGGGGGGGGGGGGGGGCTTGAATTTTAAACTACCTGATGATGCTTCCATGTCAATATAACAAATGGCTTTGTTGTACTTGAGAAGTTTTTTAAAAAATTTCCCATATATTCCTTTGTAAAAATTTATCCCCCATTGTGGCTCCTCCCTATCCCAGGGGTCATGATTTGAACAAACTTGAATCTACACTACATGAGGATGCTTCCATATCAATATGACTACACGTAGCTTTTCTGTCCTTGAGAAGAAGATGTTTTTCTTATATGTTTTCATATGTAAAATTTTCGATCCCCCATTGTGGCCCAACCCTATCCCCAGGGTCATCATTTTAACAAACTTGAATCTACACTACCTGAGGATGCTTCCATATCAAAATGACTAATCATGGCTTTGCAGTTCTTCAGAAGAAGATATTTTCCTATATATTTCTATTTAAGACTTTGATCCTCCATTGTGGCCCCGCCCTACCCCCAGGGGTCATGATTTGAACAAATTTGAATCTACACTACTTGAGGATGCTTCCATATAAATATGACTCGTCATGGCTTTGCTGTTCTTGAGAAGAAGATTTTTAAAGATTTTTCCAATATATTTCTATGTAAAACTTTGATCCTCCAATGTGGCCCCGCCCTACCCCTGGGGGTCATGATTTGAACAAACTTGAACCTACACTACCTGAGGATGCTTCCATATAAATACGACTCATCATGGCTTGCTGTTCTTGAGAAGAAGATTTTTAAAGATTTTTCCAATATATTTCTATGTAAAACTTTGATCCTCCATTGTGGCTCCGCCCTACCCCCGGGGTCATGATTTGAACAAATTTGAATCTACACTACCTGAGGATGCTTCCACATGAGTTTCATCTTTCCTGGCCCTGTGGTTCTTGAGAAGAAGATTTTTAAAAGATGCTATTAATTTTTCGCTAATTCTTTATTATCTCCCATTGAAAGAGGGCGTGGCCCTTTATTTGAACAGACTTGAATCCCCTTCACCCAAGAATACTTTGTGGCAAGTTTGGTTGAAATTGGCCCAGTGGTTCTTGCGAAGAAGTCGAAAATGTTAAAAGTTTACAGACAGACAGACAGACAGATAGACGGACAGACAGACAAACGGATGCTGGACAAAAAGTGATCAGAAAAGCTCACTTGAGCCTTTGGCTCAGGTGAGCTAAAAAAGGAAAGAACAAGATGTGTTTGTCAAACACTATGCCCCCGATGGTAACATAATTCTGGAGTGGGATGTAGACTACAGTGCAATAGTTATGGCCAATGTTAAAGTTTTTCAAATGTAGGTCAAATATCACAGTTGAGGTCACATGATCAAAAATTTCTGTACCAATGGAAAGGTCTTGTCATAATGAACACTCATGTCAAATATTAAAGCCTTACCCTTGACAGCGCAATAGTTATGGGCTAGGTTAAAGTTGACAACAGACAAACAGATAGACAGGACAAAAACAATATACCCCCGGGATCTTTCGATCCGGGGGCATAAAAATAAAGCTTATTAAATAAAATATAATGTCCTTTTTAAATGGTTTTTGTTGTAAACTTATTATGTCATGAAATATAATAGGTTTTTGCTTTAAAAAATGAAGGTTAACCTACTGTCCAGTGTTGGTAGGAAAAAGAAGCTGATAGATCCAGCTGCAATTAGGGCTCCACCCAACACATAAAATGGAAGACCATAACCTGATAACTGAGGAAAATAGATAAGAGGTAAATCTTATCATATTCTATTTCACAAATGCAGTCTGTTTTACTTCCATTTATCAAAGTGCTGTTTTTTTCTATATTTAGTATTGCAATAATGGTCATCTATCTTACTGCTACTCTTTTGTGTGGAAGTCAAGGAAGTTCAAAATCTTGGGATATTTCTATGCCATATAATACAGTTTACACTAGTGACAGTCAATTAAATGATTTGAACAATTATTATGCCAAAAGTACAATGTATTGTCAAGGGTTGCAGTCCAGATTGGAGGACTAAGGTTGTCCAATTTGGAATGTTTAGAGTATATTTCACTAACTTCCAAAAGTATTGGTTATCAAAAAGAAATGGTTGAATTTGATTATAGAAGAGTCATCTAAATAGCAGAAAGTTTCAATAAAAATGTAACACAAGAGAACTAGCTCCTCTTAAGTTTGTTAGTTTGGTTCACCAAATGTTTGGCAGGATATTTTACTAGCACTTTTTTCTTATGTGTCTTTAAAAGTCTAATATACAGTGATAGATCTCGCAGTGTATTCAACTGCACATTGTCCTAAGCTAATGGACATTTCCTACCTCCACTGCAAAAGACTTCCACTAAGTTAAGAAGAGCACAATTATCATATCATAGTGAGCTACGTTACCGAGTACAGACCACCACCAATGGCTGGGCCTACCATCATCCCAATCCCTGTAAACAGCTCCAGGTAACCCTGAAAGGTCACAACGTAATCTGGTTTATATTTCTCAAAGAAAAATTATGACATTAAGTTGCTTATTCAATGTTAACTTTACTGATAAGTAAAAGTATTGTATGTAGAATTGTGAATCAGATGGCAGAGTCAAAATATTCAAAATATTAAGTGCTGACTAAGTTCACTTTTACAATTTCAGAAATAATATGGAATATATGGAAATACATACAACCACAGTGGCAATGTGTTTTGGGAATGCATCAGCAAGAATAGCGTAGCTGGCTGTTATAAAGGCTGCCGAGGCAAGGGCTTCCAGGGACCGGCACAGAAAAGAGAGGAGGATAAATTGGTAACCTCCCGGACTGTAGATCAGGACACTGAAAGAGAGAGAGAGAGAAAGCTCAGATTGGTGGGTTTGTACATAATACTTAACATGGCTGCTCCAAAAGACATATATTATGAATTTTACCCAAATTACTGAAGGATTTGTATATAAACCCAGAGATACTGAAGGTTGCAGAGGAAAAAAAGCATGCTAAATAACTTTTAAAGATGTTGTGTACTGCTTTTAGAGACACATGAAAATTGTTCTTACCCAAATAAAATGGTGCAGACTCCACTGACAGACACACCAGCAACAAAAAGAAACTTTGTTCCAATTTTTGTCATCTGAAAATGGAGTACGTAAGAACACAATGTACAGTGTACACCTGTATCCTTTTATGTAAAGCTTCAAATTAAATTAATACTGCTCTTGGCTTATTGATCATTTTCCTCTGTTTACTGACAACAATGCCAGGGTGGGGAGCAATTACCATATATTATAGAGGATCACAACATCAAAAAGAAATGTGACTGACTGAAAAAGAAATGGAGTGGGGATGCAAGATAAAGGAGGAGGCGTTAGTATTGCTGCACACTATTATTTTATTCCCATCGTTGCCCTCCCACACTAGTTATATGCTGTTTCCCACATTTCTTTATTATTTTGCCTTCACATTGCCAAGCTTTATTGAGGGTAGTCTCCCTTTGTTTTAGTCCCTCATCTGTGAGATTTCTTCATCAGAGATTTTATTTGTCTAGAGTTTGTATTTGTCGTGAATGTAGTGGACATTTTATGACTATATGTGTCCCTAGTTGTTTAATAATAAAACTGGTAAGATACAATCTGTTAAATATTAAATACATTCCAGCTGAATTTCTCCTAGGCTAATGGAATGATATGAGCCATGTAAAAAATGACATGCCTTAATTTTTATATCATACATATACTTCACAAGTATATTCAGAATATTGCTTTAAAACACTTTCAGGAAATTTTTATTTGATTTAATTCATGTATATAATCTTTGATTTACTTATCTAAGAAGCTCCTGGGGGACTCTGCCCTGCCATTTGGACCTAGTCTGCCTGAGGTCTTAGGACTACCCCAAGCCCACACCCTAGATCCCAGACCTCCTGTCTAATTTGCATGAATATTACACTTTGACTGGCAATATTATGTCACTCAGAGAAAAATATAGTTACTTTGTTATATTTTTTATTGACCATGATTAGAGCTGTTAAGTACTCAGTATATCAGTTTCTTTACTCAGAGAGTGCTCTTTTATTTATCGTTAGAATTCCTATCAAAACCCTGTCCTTTGGTTTGTAAATGTAACATGTTATGCCAAACAAAAAAAAATTTAACCCCCTCTTTCAAAAATCATAGGTCACCTGTTCTTCCTTTCACATTTCAATCATTTTGAAAAGTTTGCTAAATTTCGAATCAGCATGGAAAAAATGAAGAATATATCAAGACTAGTCTGGAGATTCAAATATATCAATATGTGCATGTTGCAGTGTATATGCATCATAAAAGGTTGGCATATTATAAGGGGGATCTCAAAGGGAAAGAACTGGTAATTTCAAGGTAGAAAAGCGCTTTTACCTAAGATATTGCTATTATATACTTATACAAGTACTTATTCTAAATTTTTGCAACATTTAGGTCCAAGTCCTGATTAATTATAAATGGAAGCCTTTGTTCTTCCCAGATGTAAGATTGTGAGGTACATAGAATATACTGAAGTTATTTACTGAAAGAGTCCAAAAGAGAAGTAAAAATTATATGGTAAAGATTGGTAGGAACATGTTTTTTACTTGAAATGGCAATCCCAGGCACAAAACTGTACATGCATATTGGCTATGAATAGGTCCATGTCCTATTAGTTAAAAGTTGGATCAAAATATTTTTTTTTAAACTGAGAAGGATTTGTACTTTTTTTTTTGTTTTTCAGGTCCTCTTGATTGTCAAAAATTATTTCATTGTCATGACATTATAAACTCAAAGATCACTAGAAGATAAACCTATCACATGAAGCATTAAGTGTTATTTGCATGCTTATCAGTATAACACACTAATTCAGCCTCATTCACATGACAAGAATCTTTAATTTCCTCACTTTTAACAAAAACAGAAAAAAGGAAAAAAATTACATAAGATCATTCAGATAAGAGTTAGTGTAAGGATGCTTGCACTCTCTGTGGTAAATTTAAGCACCTACACAAGTACCTAAATGATACTTGAGAATGGAATGCTTTAAATTTACTTAAATTGCTTTTAATAGAGCACCATGAAAATAGCTAAATAAATCCAGGAGTGTATGTCATCTTGTATGCATGCAGTCAGTGCATTACCAACAGTATAAAGCCATTAAAGGATACATCACAATTAACTTATTTGCAAAGAAATTACAACTAAATACTCTTTGATAAATAAAGTAAACAAACAGGGGTATGGTATTACATGTAATAAATGCATAATTTGAGGAAAATTTAATACTGAGTTCATGAGTAAATAATGCAACCAAAAGTCTGTGAAAGCGTAGAGATTGCAAAGGAATAATTACTCACATAATTTCCAAAAACTGGTGATATAAGGAAGGATACGAGTTCAAATATACCGAATATAAATCCTATTACAGTTTGACTGGTCCCCTTCTTGCTGGCCTGTAAGAGTAAATACCGATTAGACTGGAATTTGTACACATACATGTAATGGTTTGGGCCGTGGATATCGGCCTGGGTAGCTCAGTCAGTAGAGCACCTCAGACTAGTGATGCAGGGGTCCCAGGTTCCATTCCTGGTCGAGCCATACATTTTCTCCTTTCCTGTTACAGATTTGGTGCTATTGACCACCCCTGGACTTGCAGATGAAAGTCTTGCCAGGGGCAATAGGAACTTGGGTTGTGTCTTCGAGGGTGAAGACAATTTAAGGAGGGAGGAATGTAATGGTGTGGGCCATGGATATTGGCCTGGGTAGCTCAGTTGGTAGAGCACCTGACTAGTGATGCGGGAGTCCCGGGTTAGATTCCCAGTCCAGCCATACATTTTCTCCGTTCCTGTTACATACAGTTACTTTTTTTATGGCTATTAATGTGTTCAAATCATAAAGAATAAGATGCATGTAACAATAAAGTAGATTTACAATCATGCAGAGTATATAACATTTAGAAAAATGTAACTCAATCATTAAAAGAAATATTGATTTGAATAGGTAAATTTGTGCTATAATTCTCTTAATTCAGTTACAGTGATGATCCTTCATCTCTTCCATTTGATTTGTGGTTAAATGATCAATGTATTTTTTTTATTTATTTAACATTCTGCTTTAGCTATTTTTAATGAATTCTAATAACTTTTTAAGTTACCTCCTCTGGAAAGAATGGTCCAAGTATAGAAAAGTTGGCAGCAGCACAGAAGTTACACACAGCCATCATCAGGAGCAAAACCTTTTTATCTCGAGATATCTCACACAGAGAGAATGGCCTGTGATTGCTGGACCTCCCTTCATCTTGGTACTCGGAGTACTCTGAGCTCAGAATCTGTCTGTCACATTCCTCATTACCCTCCCATCTGGGCGTGGCAGCTATAGAAGGATTACCAATGGGAGGGTTGTTATCAGACGTGTCTACTTGTTGATAAGTCCCGTATTGCAGATTTACTCCTCCAT